GGCCTGCGGACTCAAGGGTCCCAGGTTCGATTCCGGTCAAGGGCATGTACCTTGGTTGCAGGCACATCCCCAGTAGGAGATGTGCAGGAGGCAGCTGATCAATGTTTCTCTCTCATCGATGTTTCTAACTCTATCCCTTTCCCTTCCTCTCTGTAAAAAAATCAATAAAATATATATTTAAAATTAAAACTATATTAATTCAATAGCAAAGCTTGACTGACATATAGTATTTGTTAATATTCCTAAGAATAGTAAATGACATGGGTGAAAATCATTAAATAAAAAGAATGGTCAATTTATTTAAAGTCGGAATATAGAAATCTTTATAATATTAGAACATTTCTAGGTGGGTACTGCCCTCAGAGACAGCCTGCTCAGTGGTGCCTGTGCCCAGATGTTGGCTCCTAATCCTGTTCTCTAGTAAAGAGATTATGTGATTTATTCCATACCTCAGGGAAAAGAAATACATGAGGAGACATTTTGGATATTTTAGAGAATCAGTGGTTCTGTGAAAAAGCAAAAGTCTGTATGATTCTCAAATACAGCAAATTCAAATGAGGGAAATTAGGCTGGAATTCCAATGATGTTTACAGAATCTCCCAAAGGTTGATCCCCAAAACATTGTGCATACTGCAGTAACATTTTGATCTCCACCCAAGTTATTGTAAACCAGGCCATAAGATGAACTGAGTTCCTCACAGAGTGCCACGTCCCATCAACTCTATTCAACTTGAATTCTTTTTTTTCTCTTTTAAAAAATGTTATTAATTTCTAGAGAGAGAGGAAGGGACAGAGAGAGAAAGAAACATGAATATGAGAGCAGAACGTGGATTGGCTACCACTGGAGATTGAGTCCTCAATCTAGTCATGACCTGTGACCTGGTTCTTAGGTTGATGCTCACACACTGAGCCATGCTGGCCGGGCCAACTTTAATTCTTCAGCTAAAACTTCACCAGGTTGCAAGAAGGGGTGTGGGTTTGGAAAGACTCAGAACACAGAGGCTCATAGAGACTGGTCCTGTAACTGGGTCAAAGTTCAGAATAGGGGGTCAATTCCCAACCTCCATTCCAGACCCAGCCTAGGAGAGTAATTTGTACTGCATTTCTGGGTGAGTCTATTTGTAATCATGAGATGAGAAAATAAAGTGATCCAGTAGTACTGATACTGTAGAGTGGGTTAGTAACTGGTTTTTTAAGATGTTTGAAAACATTCAGTAATCTGAGATAACAAAAAAGTCTCATTTATTCATTTCTAGGAGTGCTTAGGAAGATGTTACTGATTAGATTCACCCCCACCCCTCCATTAAGAGATCAAGTAGATTATGTGTATATAATAGTTTGAAATACCTAAGGGAATTGAATTAATCAGACTTTTAAGACAAGTAAAATGTTTAGGGAGGGGGCATCAGTCTGTCAAATTTATAATCTAATGGAACGTTAATCAAAGAATGTGAAAGTGAATTTTACATCCAAATTATAAGATTAATCAGTAAAATGATGTCCAGAAGCAAGTGTAAGGGCTTAAGGAAAATGAGATTTTAGTTTAATAACTCTAATAAATTGTTATAAATTAAGACACAAATAATACACAAGGTCCCTAACTTGGATGTGGCTCTCCCAATAGATTTTTGCCAAGCGATGCCCCCTCTCCAAAGGCAGGCCCGAATCTGTTCTGTTCTCATGGTCTCTCCCATCAGAGCAAAGCCCGTAGCACACAGCCACACAGTTTGTTGAATGAATGAATGAGGTGCAGAGTGGAGACTGTAGGCCCAGGGGGCTCTAACGCCAGGCAGCCCATCCCACCCCTCACCCCGCCATGGCACACAAAGGCAAACAGAGAAGCACATCGCCTTTATTAATTCTTCCAGCCCGCGGGCGACCCCAGGCCAGAGACCAAGCCCAAGCGTCTGGCCGTCCTTGCCAAGCAGACCAGGCTCTCAGGATGACAGTGGATCAACTCAGGGGCTCAGCATTTCCCAAAAGGGCAGTGGCCTGGGAAGAGGTAGAGCAGAGCTCTGGTGAGGTGCCCCCCCCTCGCCTCCTGGGGAAACGAGCCCTCTCCCTCCTCTGGTCTGTGAGGTCAGTCACTCAGCAGATGACTCCAGGTGGTCTGAGAGCCTGCCCTCCCTCCCAAGGGCTGGGGGCATCCCCAAGGGCGGCTTGAAAGGGTGACAATGGTGGCATGGGGAGCGTGGGGAACAGGGCCACGGGCTCCCCCTCACCTCCATAGCCATTTTCCAGCGGGCCACTGCTGCCTCGCTTCACCTCAGGGCCTCCTAAGGCACAAACAAGCCAGGGGACGCGGGTCACAGAACTTTTCAGTGCTCTCCCAGCTTCATCCCAGGCCTTGGGAGAACCCCACTCACCAAAGGGTCTGGGGCCCAGCTCTGGCCTCAGCTGCTCATAGGGCCCTGGAGATAGGGACAGAAGGTAGGAGCACTGCGTCCCTGATGGCCCTTGATCTGGTCTGTCACCTCCTCATCTTAGTCCAGGTGCCAGGCTCATGCTCAGGGCCCCCTGCTCTCCCTTATCCCTCCCCAGTCCCATTCATTCCTGTCCCCCTCATACTTCCTCCACCATCAATGTCCCCTCCATCTCCGCAGGGCTATGGGGTGGGCCTGGACCCAGGACCCAGCTCCCTAAAGCCACCCCTCGTCCCCCCCTCAATGTTCTTCCACACACCCCATTACCTGGTTGGCTTTCGACCCCTGAATATGCACCTCCGGCCCCATATCCAGGCTTCCAGGCAGCCCCCCAAGGCTGGAGGGAGGGCCAAGGAGAGCCCCTCAAAGCCTCAGTCTGACCTGCAGGAGGACAGCTTCTGTGGGAACCACTGCCCACTGGACCTGAACATCCAGATGCCCCAGTCCTCTCTGGGCCTCAGAGCCCCCCAACCCCTAATAGCCCTTGCCAGGGTCCACTCTGCTCCCTGAACTCTCATTTCTTACCATTTCCTTCAGAGGCTGGAGCTGCAGCTTTGGGGTACACCAGCGCTTCTTCGCCATACCCTGTGCGAGATCCATGTGATTCATTCCTGACCAGACCTGATGTCCCTTCCCCTCACCCCCTGCACTCTGTCCCCTGGGGCCCAACTCACCGTTCCTAAAGCCATTGGCCCCAGGGAACCCTGAGGAAGAAAGAGGTCAGAGGCATGAACAGCCCCTGCGCCAGGAGTCCCTCCAACCTCCCCAACCCCACCCTTAGGCACCTGGCTGCAGGAGGGCCTGGGCGAAGATCCCGGCTCCCAGACCACCGTTCCCGTAACTAAAACCTGCAGGAGACAGATTGGAGGGGGGCTGGGAGGGGGGCTGAGGGTGGACAGCAGTGGGGAAGCCAGGGTGACCAGCTCATGGAGAGGCAGGCTGACTCACACAGGGGTCACCTGGAGAGGGCCTCTCACATCCCCCACCCTCAGCACGCTGACCCTGCTCAACCTCCCGGAAGCCTTCCCCGGCTTCTCTCTGGGCAGCTCCCCTTCCCTCCTGGCCGCAGTCTGTCACTCTACCCTCGCCTGAAGTAAGATGGCGCCTGGTCTGGCCACCACTGGAGCCCAACGCATAGTAAGTATGGGCCGGGTGAATAAGGAAAGAGACAGACACGACAAAGGTAGCAACAAGGAGGGCTCATCGTGAAGGAGGTGCCAGGCTGTGCCCAAGATGAGGGCCTGGGCGAGGGGGGCGGGGGAGGGGGGCTCACCAACTTTCTGAGGTTTGAGGCCTTCACCAAAGCCTAGAGTAGAGGAAACGGGCGTCAGAGGTGGGGGGCGGGGCCAGCGATGGCCACAAGGGTGGGGATGGGATGGGAGGAAGAACTCAGGCGAGGGCCTCCTCACCCAGTTCTGCTCCTGGTCCGTAGCCGTTTGAAGGGGGGAACCCTGTGAAGAGAACTGAGCTCAGGGGGGACCACACTTTCCCAAGGATGGACCTGAGGAACTCTGAGGAGGAAGGAGGGATTCTTTCTACCCACACGGAAAGGGGTCGGAATCACTGGGTTTAGAAAGCAGCCAGAGAGAAGGAGGGCAGACTTGGGGGGGACCTTCCCGGCCTGAACAGCTGGGGCAGCCTGGGCATAGGGTGACGGGGGGCGACCCTGCTCTGGATGGGCACAGAGGCCAGCAGACTCACACCTGCTTTCTGAGGCTTCAGTCCCCACTGGATGGCTGGCGTCGGTGCTAGGAAGAAAGCCAGGGGACAGGAGTGAGCCCAGGGCCAGGCAGTTTGGGGCTGCCACAGCCTGCCATGCGGGGGACAGGCGCTTGGGGGAGCTGCCCTATTGGGGGTCACCTGGGTCTCCGAGCCAGAGTTCAGGCTTTGCCTCAGTTGGCTCACAGCAAGCCTCACTCTCAGGTGAAGAATGGGCATGGGGGCTTCTGAGCAGCCCAGCCAGGCCCAGCCCCTTCTGGGACCAGGTACACCCCCCCACCCCCCATTGCCACCCACCCACACTGACCTGGGAACTTGCCGTTCTGCGCTGGGGCGGGGGGCTGGGCTTTGGAGCCCCAGCCACCTGCTTTGTCAGAAGGGCCTCCGGGAGTGGGAAGCCCATTGCAGGGACCTAGATGGGAGGGGGGGGGGCGTGAGCCCAGACGGGCCTGGGTCCGGCCAGTCCACCAGCCTGCAGTAGCTTCTAGGGCAGACACAGCTCCCAAGGGGGGACCACTGGCCAGGACCGAAAAGGCCCAGTTCCTCTGGGCCACAACCTGCTCTGGGGACCAGGGCACCTAGCCACCTGACATGGTTTCTGCTAGTTGCCCCCCAGCCCCAAGGCCTGTCAGCCTACCCCCCTTGCCCCTGGGGCCTCACCTGCCTGGGCCCCCAGCCCATTTCTGCTGCCATATCCTGGAGAGGAAAAGCAGGGATGTTAGGGGTCCTGGGGGCGGGGGTCCTGGAAGGAGCAATAGGAGAAGGTACGGGACTGAGGTAGGGGCTCTCGCACTTGCCTGGCTTCTGAGGTTTCACGCCCCCTTCCAGACCTGCAGGAGAAGCAGAGAGACAGCTTCCGAGGGGCAGC